GTGAATCGGCAAGCAGTGTAGCTGCCACACGGTCCAGGTGCCACTGCAAGGTTGGTAAAGTGGTATCAGGCAGGAAGAGAAATGTTGACGTAAACACCTGGCACTCCGATATCATTTTATTGGTATTGAGAATCTCCCCGATTCCGAAAGAGTCGAGTACCTGGCGCATCCCAAGAGGCACCGGTAGTTTAGCTGGTGTAAGAGCTGTCCAGTCTTGTCATATGTAAATGATGTTTATGCTAGTGCGTAGCCTTACAGGAAATGACAAGTCTTCACAGGAATCATCGGCACATGGAAAGCAGCGAAATGCCCCACCGAGCCGATCTGCATCTTTTATTCGTTACCCATATATACCATACCTGACATTCAGGTTCTTCGCTTTCCGAAGAGCAGCACAGATGACCTCCCATTTTGTTCACACACCACTGGCCCACTCCAGCGCACATGTTGTCCGATTCGCATTCGTTCACATCTGAAAGCATTTTTCAGAGTTCTGGTCGAATTCTTGAAGAGCATCCAATCCTGTCTTACCTATACATCTTGAATGGGGATCCCCAACGAATCCCTCCATGCATTGGCAGGTCTGGTTGTAGCACACCGCGTGCAGTCCACATCCACCAGCACAGAAGGCGCCCTTGTCTGAAAAAGACTTTTAGACCTTTCGGACTTCCGACGCTATCTGGAGGATTCTTACCTTTGATACATCGGTCATCGTCGACGTCGTCATCGCAACAGATGTAGCCGCCATTGATGTTCACGCAACGGTGACCTGTCTGATTCGCACACGGGCTGTCCACCGTTGCACATTCGTTCACATCTGCAAATAAAGTTGCTCAGCATTTGACCCAGGCTATATCATCGGGATGGGTGAAGCTCTGGAGCAAATACCATTCTCGAAGTTTCTAGACCCTTTTCCACATCCTAGCGCTACGACCCCCATAACATTTGCTTCTTACCCAGTCATTCTGCCGTCCAGGGCACATCATTGATTGGGGATTTTAGTCGAGTCTGTACGACCGCCAGGGGGGGGGGGGGGAGGGGCATATAGTAGGCATGAAACAGGAAAATCACGAAAATCACGAAAAGTCAACCACCTCTCCCTACAACGCCAAAACGTAAAACGTAAATACGACCCCCCCTCCCAAAAATGACCAGTACGACCCCACCTTACACGTCATGAAACGAGAAAAATCAACTATCAAAAATAAATTTTTCCCATCGCCAAATACGACCCCCCTCTCTTGGCGGCCAAATGCGACCCCCCCTATTGGGGATCCCCAACAACGTTGTATGTGGTCCTGCTGCCGTCAAGCCGGCTGTGGGGACCAGGCGCGCGCTAGGTGCGGGAGTGTAGCGCCGTCTTTAAGTGCGCCGAAAAAACCAACAGTCAATACCCGCCAACATCAGCATACGACCCCTCGCCTCCTCAAGCGGCTTCAAAATATTGACCTCTCGTTCAGATGGGCATACCCTCTAGCCAAAAAGTTGTACAGCCACGGAAGCTTGACCGAGGCATGTTTGCCCTGAACAAGTAAACCCATCAGCAAGGGAGAGCGTTCTTCTTTAGGAGTATTCCCAGCATTAGATGCGAGGGGGCGGGGTGTTCTATGGCATGCAACAAAAGCTAAGTAAGAGCAAGGGCTTTCACTTACCCATTACAAGTTATTCCATCGCCAACGTAGCCGGTCTGACAAAGACATAACTTCAACGACTTGATACAGAACGCATGTCGGTCACAGATATCCTCTTGTTGGCTACAGTCAGTGATCGCTGAAAAAAAATTCCCACGTTGCCTTGATTGCAGATAAATTTTCCAGCGACATGTAGCTCTTCCGGAGCGGACCAACTGCAGGCACACTAAAACAGCAGTTTACCATAATACAAACTTCAAAATCTGTACAAGCCTCGGTTCATTAGTTGGTTCTATGCCGATACTTATTAACGATTAACGGTTGCACCGCGCCTCACCATGTTTAAACATCTGTGAGGCCTGTTAGCGACTACGCGGCAAAAGCCGTTGAGCTGGTGAGCGGTAAAGCGCCCTCGGCTGGCCGTAACGGATAGCGTGCTCGTCCGCGAAACACCGGCCCTGAGCTGCGCGGTCTGATCACTGCCTGGAGTCGACTTTTGCCCAAAACTCAGCATTCTTGTGGTAACTTTCAGAGCGCGAACTGCGGCGTAAAACAGCAGTTATCATAATATAAAATTTCAAGACATTTTTGAGGACCCAAGCATGAAGGAAAAATGCAAGTAATCAGTCATCACAAGAGCTTTGACTGCGGATCGCCGAAGTTCAGCTCTCAGAGGAAAGTTCATGTTGTTCAAAGCTGCCATCTTCGAGGGCCCAGACCACACTGATCATATTAGTGAAAACATGAATGGAGAGGATCATCTACTGTAATTTTGCATTTCTCTTTGTGCCTGCCAATGCCTCTACCGTGGTATCACCAGTAAGGAAGGCGAAACGCCTGACCGTCTGCACTCATACGATAGGCGTGGAGAGGAAGAATTCTAACAGTACGCTTTTACGAGAGTTCGTTCAGCTCAATTTTAAAAACGACTTCAACACGACGGTTTCCGAGGCAGTCCACGTTCATCGTATGGGCTGCAGCATGGATGGAGACAACACCATTGTGCCTTTTCCGTTGAGTCGACCTTCCTATTTATCGACGTGGAAGGATAGAAGCATCAATGAGACAGGAACAGTGTTCCCTTGTCCGTAATACGGTCAGCGTGGCCTGTGCTTCGAATATTCTATGAACTGAGACTGTTAGACTAAGTTTCGGGTAGCGGTACTGTTC